AAAAACCAGCCCACTGGAGACTCAGACCTTTGGTTGCTGAAATTTGCTCAAATAAATCAAATCAGGTTGAAAGGGTACATATACATAACGTTTAGAAACTAATACACCAACACGAGATTCAATTAAGCGAGATTCTACAATTTTGCCTCTCCCATTAATAGATTTGGTCCACGCTGAGCATCTTCATGTTCCTTTACAAAATTTTACTCTTGTACCACTAACCCACCATATATTAATATTAATATTAATATTAATTAATACAATCTCAACACATATAATATTCTAAATTCAGAGCAATAGTCCATGCTACAAATTCAATTAGTCCATTAATATTAAATTAATATTATTCTAAATTCAGAGCAGTACATTTTGTCCATGCTGGACATTATTATTTCTCCTAAGTGGCCAATACCTTGGATACCTACTTTCCATTCACACAATCGCCTACCAATATCAATACGGCCATCCTACCTCCTCTACCTTTTTGACAGGCCATCTTCACGTTTCAGTCCTCTTCCCCATTACTTAGAAAAAGTGAGCCACCAGTTCAGGTTAAAAGATACTATCATTACACCCAGACAATTAGACAGCCAACCCGTAATCGCAACGACCCAATTGCAAGAGCGGAGCTCTACCAACTGAGCCATATCCCCCAGAACCAAGTGGAGTATGCTCGGGCCAGTCTAAATTTGCTAAATTGCTAAATGAAACAAAAACAAAAAACAACATCAACAGAGGAACAATAAGAAAAAAAAGCTAATACTTTGAGCAATTTAAACTTTTGAAGTCTCAGCATTCAATATCATCAATAAGGGCTCAAATCAGTCGAAGAGCATTCAAGTTTTGCTTAAGACATAATGAAACAGGACAAGAACCACAACCAAAGGGGCATTGCTGTAAGACCTTAACAGTTCACACGATCACAGCAATGGCCATTGACAAAATTTAAGCCATGGTAATAAAGCATCTAGGTATCCCAAAAGAAGACACAGGATTGACCAAAGTGGCAGGGCATCATTTCTTCTTGGCAGCAGCCTTGGTCACCTTGGCACCCGTAGGATCCTTCTTCTCCACGCTCTTGATAACTCCAACAGCAACCGTCTGCCTCATGTCACGGACAGCAAAACGACCCAGAGGAGGATACTCAGAGAAAGTCTCAACCACCATGGGCTTGGTGGGAATCATCTTCACCATACCAGCATCACCGTTCTTCAGGAACTTGGGCTCCTTCTCAAGCTCCTTGCCAGACCGCCTGTCGATCTTGGTAATGAGCTCAGCAAACTTGACAGCGATGTGGGAGGTGTGGCAGTCCAGCACTGGGGCATAGCCGTTGCCGATCTGCCCAGGGTGGTTCATGATGATGACCTGGGAGGTGAAGCTGGCAGCCTCCTTGGCAGGGTCATCCTTGGAGTTGGAGGCCACATACCCACGCTTGAGATCCTTCACAGCGACGTTCTTCACGTTGAAGCCAACATTGTCACCAGGAAGGGCCTCCTGAAGAGCCTCGTGGTGCATCTCAACAGACTTCACCTCAGTAGTCAGGCCAGTTGGACCGAAGGTGACAACCATACCAGGCTTGATGACACCAGTCTCCACACGACCAACTGGTACAGTTCCAATACCACCAATCTTGTACACATCCTGGAGGGGCAGACGCAGAGGCTTGTCTGAAGGCCTCTTGGGCTCGGTGATCTGGTCAAGAGCCTCAAGCAGGGTTGGGCCCTTGTACCAGTCAAGGTTGGTGGACCTCTCAATCATGTTGTCACCCTCAAAACCAGAGATTGGGACGAAAGCAATCTTGTCAGGGTTGTATCCAACCTTCTTCAGGTAGGACGAGACTTCCTTCACAATCTCACCATAACGGGCCTTGGAGTACTTGGGAGTGGTCGCATCCATCTAAAAATACAACAGCAACAGAAAATATAATTAACATTAGCTTGATTCTCCAGGGCAAGGGCATGGTATAAGCTTGGAACAGAACATTATCATTAGCTTAATGGTACAGATGAAATAAAAAGTAAAGCAAAATGAATACAAGCGATTGAATGAGAAATGCATATCAGAGTTATTGAGAGAATCTTTCTGCACCATTAACCAATGAAGATTAACTAATAGACATGAATAACCAATACAGTATACTAGCATCAAATTCTGTATACAGCTCACATAGTCTAATACTGTGTATCAACTAATGAACAGGAGTGAAACAGAAATTCATGATTATACCTTGTTGCAGCAGCATATCATCTGCTTCACACCAAGGGTGAAAGCAAGGAGAGCATGCTCACGGGTCTGGCCATCCTTGGAGATACCAGCCTCAAAACCACCAGTGGTGGAGTCAATGATAAGGACGGCACAGTCAGCCTGGGAGGTACCAGTGATCATGTTCTTGATGAAGTCACGGTGTCCAGGGGCATCAATGACCGTGCAGTAGTACTTGGTGGTCTCGAACTTCCACAGAGCGATATCAATGGTGATACCTCTCTCACGCTCAGCCTTGAGCTTGTCGAGCACCCACGCGTACTTGAAGGACCGCTTGTTCATTTCAGCGGCCTCCTTCTCGAACCTCTCGATCACACGCTTGTCAATGCCTCCAAGCTTGTAGATCAGGTGGCCGGTGGTGGTTGACTTGCCAGAGTCGACATGGCCAATAACCACAATGTTGATGTGGGACTTCTCCTTACCCATGGCTGGAGGTGAAGCTTAAACTGTTACACCAGATGAATCAGTTATTAGAAACGTAAACACCAAAGCCACTAACAAAAGAATTTATCAGATGGGATCAAAAACTAGATCAAAAGTTGCAACAGCAGCAATTAGCTTAAAAATAACCTGATACACATCAGCAGGGGCGGGGGAGAGGATAAAGCAGCACTAGAAACACTACAGAGGAAACAATATAATATAATATAATATAAAAAGAACAAAGCAGCCCGAGAAAAAAAAAGAGGAAACTAGTGTGCGCACAGAATTTTGATTCAGTAAGACTTCAAAATTGGAATCTCAAACTACTTCGTAAACCAGATCAGAAATTTGCTCATACGATGAGGTTGCAACTATTACGGCACATGAACTACAAGGACAGATACAGTACAAAAGTATCTGCAAAACAAAGAAACTACAGGAGCTCTAGACCTCAAAAAGTACGATCCGACACTTTATCAAGACAAGGCTTGTTGGTTTCGACCAGGGCTTATCTTGGGCTTATCAGCCATGGTACAGTATTTTCCTCTCACAACAAACCAGCACCAGCCAGGCTTATCAGCCTAGAAAACAACCAGCGAACAGTCTCAAGGTAACACGACCACGAGCACAGTAAATAAGTCATCCAGCAGGATGTAAGTAGTTCATCGGATTAATAAGAAACTATCCTTAACAATCAGGTCAGAGATACATGAAGGCAAAAAACCACAAACCCTAAGGTGAACTACAGATCCGAAATTTGCTCATACGATGAGGGTGCACTATTGCTGCAGATGAACTACTAAGAGGATACAGAACAAAAATCTGCAAAACTACAGCAGCTCTGCGCCTCAAAAAAATCGACCTGACATATGTTGGAGTGGAATGGAATTTAGTTTAATTCCACTCCAATCCACTTAACACATGTGGATTGAGATAAATACATGCGCATCCAAACAAGGCCTTATTAAGGTAACACGACCACGAGCACAATCAGTAAGTCGTCCAACGACGCTATGTAAGTAATTCATCGAATCCCGTATGAATCAGGTCATCGAAACACGAAAGCAAGCCAAACCCGAAAACCCTAAGGGAGTGGAGGCGCAGTAGCTATCATTAATCGCAAACAGAGGGACCGAATCACTACAGGCACGGGGAGGCGACAGAGTACAACCTTGATCCAGTCGCTATCGCATCAAGCAGCTAAGGAAAGAGGTCGAGCGAGGGAGGATTTGACGAGAAGAAACGATACCTTAGCAAGGGCTGGACTGGAGGCGCAGAACCGCAAGGTGACGGCTGCCTCTAGGGTTCGGGGCATTATATAAGGGGGCGTCGACCGTCGGCGTAGGCCGGGCCAGCCAAAGGAATGGACTACCAAATGATGGCCCAGGGCCCATAAACGTAGCCCGAGAGAGGCCCATATATGAATGGCATCATTTGGTTTGGCTTCCAGCGATTCACAACGGCTAGGGGAAGCCCTTTTCACTTCTCGAAACTAAAGATGGCAATGGGCCCGATATTCGACGGGTATTTGATTAATTAGGAGGCGAAATATAATTATATTTTTATCTATGGACATCTAAATGAGTAAGAATCCATCCCCGACGGGTATAGCGGGTACGGGAACGTTCCCTGTTTACCCGTCCCCGTTATCCAATGGGGAACCCGACTATTTGAACTGTCATGCGAGTATTATACCCAAAGAAGCTCAACATAGGTGTTTTGACCTAAATCTGAACAATCATATATATAGTTTGTAGGAACCCTAGTTCAATTTTTCCTAACCATCTCCGCCAGCAGCACAAGCACGCCTGCCTCACGAGCGCTCGTGCCTCTCGCTTCCTCAACTTGGTCTCTCTACCACCTTTGCTCATCCTTCTCGCAACATCGCTCCTTCTCCTCGGTATCTCCGAGACTTCGACACTTATACCGGGCAAAGAAGAAATGTCTCCGAATGCAAAGCTACGACCCCAAGTGTCCTTGTTTATCGGATATGCAGTACCCGTCAGGTATCTGTTACGCGACCGATACCCGATGGGTATGGAGATAGGCAATAATCTATACCCAAGGCAGTTAATGGGGACGGAGACGGGATAAATTGTGCGTAACGGGCAAGAGAACGTTCCGACCATACCGACGATACTCGAAACGGACGAGGACCGCACTCGCACTGGCCTGCATTTCGGCGGCCGAAACAGTCGGGCGTCTCGGGGAGGCTGACGGGGACTTGGGAGTTGTGGAAGGCTGACGGGCTTCGATCTCTCTGCGTCCGTCCTCTCTACTCTCTAGCCAGCGCGGCCGGGGACGGGGAGGCGGCGATGGGCAGCGAGGACGTGCTCGTCGAGATCCACCCCCGCGAGCTCCGCTTCCTCGGTACGTGCCCTTCTTCTCGTTCCCTGACACCTCCTCTTCAGCCCTCAGAATGTACGGCAGTCAAGATAATCTTATTACTTGCGATTGCGTGAGGTTTGTGCCAACAAATTTGAGGACCAACCGTGGCATTAGCACTTTCATAACATGATTTGTACTTTCAGTCGGATCCATCTGTTCTCCAGTCAACAAGTGCGCTAGTGCTAATAGGTGGTTTAGTGGTTGGGGTGTCAACAAGTATTAGTTCCTGTGCTGTCCTTCTGCCAATGGCTCTGAAGTTTGGCGTGTGGGAATGTGACATATCTTCTAGCTGTATATGCACATTTGGTGAATTGGTTGCAGCAGTGACATTCTAGATTCCCTGATTGTTTGCTTGCCACTTGTGATGACGCGGAAAAAGAGTGAATAAAACATGGTATGTCACAAGTGCTAAGTGCGTGTTATATGCATAAGGATGCAGAGAGAGGTGTTAGGTGAAACACGGTCAGTTTGTTTCATCTGCCGTTTTGGAGGTTTGAACCAGAATATAGTTTGCATTGTTTGTACCATGCGAATGAGACAATTTTTTAACTTGAATTTTGTTTTGCAGTCTGTACTTTTACTTGTGTATGGGAGTTACTGTTTGTTCATGATCCATTTAAGCATGTCCTAACCCAATCCCCATGAGAACACATACAAAATTTAGGGACTTACTGGGCATTAACATTTTGTAACATGGTACCTTTGTTGGACTCACTAGTCTCTCTTTTTTCTATACACAAGAATCTGTATAGTTGCCAGTTAAGAGGATGGATCCTTTCTTGTGGTTTAGTGCTGGTGGTTGGATGTGATATTGGAATAGGTCGTTCTTTTGCTGCGAGTAATTTTGTATCTTAATGGGCGGGCATGTGCTGCTTGTCACATGTGTTCATTTGATAAGTAGGTTAATCTGATGTAAATCCACCACTTTCTTGTGATTGGGAACAATGATAGCAGAACATGCTGTTAGGTGTGTTGAAAGATGCTAGTAGGGACTCTACTAGACTGCTGTATTCAATCACACTGTAGTTAATCGTAGGGTAATTGGGACAGAGCAAACTTGTTTATTTTCTCCTTCGCGCCAGATGGTTTGTATTATTCATTGTTATTGATCATGCAAGATAATGAGATATTTTGCGGATTGATTTATGCATTCATGGCTAAGAAATCGATTAACTTTATTTTTAATGGAATGGTGTTTTTGGTGTTCATATCTGTAGAGAATTCTAGACTCTAGATATTTGGTTCCTATTAAACCATCCCAAACAATCCTTTATGCTTATGATTCAAGGGTGAGAGCTGGAACCTATTTGGACTTCCTGTCTCACCACTCACTGAGGTCGACAGGTAGTTAGGACAAGGAGCTAAAGGCTGGTGGTAGTCTTCTATGGGAATACACTTGGATGAGCTTATCTAAAGAAACAAAAAGTTTCGTACGTGTCGTGAAGCTGAACAGGAAATGTGGGGGTTCTTATGACCAAAATTGAGAAATAGAATAATTGGAATCTGTTTAAACTGGAGATCGAGATTCTAGAGTAAATTTTGGTTATGTACTGTGGCAACATACTGAGTTGCCGAAAGTGAATTGACAATGAAACTATTAGATGGCTAATCCGGTTGGGCCATCGGCCATGCGCCAGCCATAGGCCCATGCTGCATATATAGATTGGTTTTACTAATAGGCATAGCTGCATAGGCAACGCTCTCCCTGGTCGGTGCCATTTCTGTAAACAAAAACCCTAGAGCATCCTTGCCTATACAATCATGTACTCTGTACTCTCATAATCAATCTACTATTGCCGCATATTATCCTTGCTTATAGAAACAGGAGTGAAGGAGTTGGTTATTGGTCACAGTGAAACTGTTATCTCCAGCTATGGTTGCATATTTTTAACAGTTTTGCTATTGGGTACTGGTATCTTCAGTGATACTATTAGTACAGGCTTTTAATTATTTGGGTTGAAAATTACTATCACAATGACCAACCATCACAGTAAAACTGTTTTGTAACCCTGGCTGGTTGTTTTTTGCCATTTTGTAGTCTGATCTGAAGCTACTCATAATCTAAATACTGTCAAATGATTTTGGTCCGCTCTTGACAAATCATGCTGATTTACTCTTATCCGCCTATGAAGCAAATTATTTGATCAAAGAATATCATATGTGTTTCCATAAGATTTGAATAATACCAAAATCAGTATCTTAGATTGGTAAATAATGAAGCTGTACTGAGCATAGTAAGTCATAAGCTCTAGTTTTCATGACTGTTTAGTAATTTTCTGTTAACATGCTATTCTTTCCTTTTTTATGAATACCATGCTATTCTTCAGAGGTTTGTTAATGTTAACTAGGATATTATATAGTCTATCATCATAATTTTCTATTGTTATTGATTCTATCATCTGTAGGTTAGTGAATGTTAACTAGGGTTTTTATTATAGTCTAATATCGTAATTTCATATTGTTATTTATTCTACCACCTGTAAATGAATATTTATCTGACTTTGACTTGTTATCAGTTGAGGTGAAGAAGCAGAGTTCATGTTGTATCCATCTTGTTAATAAGTCAGATCAATATGTCGCATTCAAGGTTGGTCTCCAATCTTATGTTGTGTATTATGGTTATTTTGTGCTATGGAGTTAAGATTTTTCTCATACTGTTGTTGCAGGGTAATGTTTGATCAATGATCATTGATGCACACTATGCTATCTATTTTTTCTTTGGATGAAACAATTTAAGGCCTAACGTTTTCATACATTCGCATTTATACCAATTTCTATTCTGGTGACTTGGATATTTGAATATGTAACAGGTTAAAACAACTTCTCCAAAAAAATATTGTGTTCGACCAAATATAGGAGTTATTCTTCCATTGGCATCACGTGATTTTACAGGTAAACGTTGTCTGGCTACTGGTGAAATTGGTGCTTTGGCATACTCAGAATTCATTGCAGTAGAGTATTGTGCAAGCTAGATGGCATCGTTTCCTAGATGCCATGGTGGATTTTGCTTTTCTTCAGAGTGCAATAATTGGTGCTTTGCCATGATGAAACTTAACAGTCTTGAAATAAAACTTGAAGAGGTAAGAAATATATAGTGCCAAATATTTGTGTTTGATCGTTTGAATTTTGAATATCTTAAGAGGTTCCTTTTTCTGAAATACTACATTGTTGCATCATCCTCTTTTGTAGGCTATTACTTTGATTGTAAAATTGAGGGAAGCAAACACAACTACCATCCAAGAGCGGGATAAATTACGGAAAGAGATGGTAAAATTTTATTGTGTTGATAAAGACCATCATAAACCATGTTGACTTTCTTCTGTGCCCATTTTCATGATAACTGAAGCTGTGAAAAGACAAATATAAGCTTTCCATGTTTGAATTTGGCGAAGGTCTGCCATGCTTTTCATCCCTATGCTCATTTGAAGTTATGTGATAGTCAACTGGGGGCAGAATTCTGTCAAATAGATCCACAAGATATGTAGCAAGTCTGCACTAGTCTTCCAGCTTGCCATATCTGAGAGCCGACTTAATGTGCTGGGACGTGACGTTGTTCTGTTTGCACCAGATAAAAGCAACTCTTATTCTAATAACTTCTTAACAACCAAACCTGTAGTTCCATTTCTCTCATCTAATAACTTGGAACAGTGGTCCCAATTTACAATCCCAAATAATGGCTACTCTTGGCATGTTAACATCTTGTTCTATGTATTGAATGGTGAAGGGTAGCATCTGACCAGACTAATAGGCTCTCAACTGCAGGGTTGACTGATACACATACATAGTTTTTTTCTTGCATTAGGCTAAATATTTCTTTAATTTTCTAATTTACAATTTTAAACACTTTGCCCCCCCAAGTATCCATATTATTGAATTCCAAACTGTGTCCTGTCTAATAAAGAACTAAAGAAGCATCCTTAATTATGTATGCTTTTGGAGTATCACCTATGGTGGGGCGCCTATGGTGGGGCGCCTTTGGTGTCCCAGCATAGCAGGTCCTAAGCCCTGGTAAAGGAGGAGGGTTGTGTTAGGCGTGGCGAGCCAATGTAAAAACTTAGCCACTTAAATGGAGATGAAACCCGAAAGAAAATCGTTGGGGCGTAACCCTCTTAGCGACGCGTCATATCGGAACCCGGGTATGGTGTTAAATGGGCAAGGGTCGGGTCGTCACCCCCGTGACGCGCCGTGTCGTGATCTGGGCATGGTGTCAAGTAACCAAGGATCGGGTCGTCGCTTCCTTAGTGGCGCGCTACATCGGCGCCCGGGTGTAGTGAAAAATGAGCAAGGGTCTTCGCGCCGAAGTCGGCCAGGTGCGAAGGGTAAGGAAGCTAGTCGAACCAACTAGGATCCGTTTAGGTAGTTGGAATGTAGGGTCACTTACAGGTAAGTTAAGAGAATTAGTTGATACCGCGACTAGGAGGCGTGTAAATATATTATCGTTCAAGAGACTAAATGGAAGGTCGGGAAAGGCGAAGGAGGTGGACAATCTGGGTTTCAAGCTTTGGTACATGAGGGGACGGTCATGAATAGAAATGGAGTAGGAGTTTTGATTGATAAGAGCCTCAAGAATGGTGTGGTGGGAGTGAGAAGGCAAGGAGATAGGATTATCTTAGTCAAGCTTGTCGTTGGTGATATGGTCTTGAACGTAATTAGTGCGTATGCCCCCAAGTAGGTCTCGACGAGAGTGCTAAGAGGCAGATTCTGGGAAGACTTAGATGGCACAGTTAGAGCTATACCTAGTAGTGAGAAGCTTTTATAGGAGGACATCTTAATGGGCATGTAGGTACTACAAGCCTTGAGGTTTCGAGAAGCGATTCATGGAGGTTTTGGGTATGGTAGTAGGAATCGGGGAGGGAAGGAAGTTACGGACTTGGCGGTAGCTTTTGACGATGATAGCCAACACTTTCTTTAGAAAGAGAGAATCTCATCTAGTGACATTGATGGCGGACAACACTGTAGCCAGATTGACTTTGTCCTCGCAAGAAGAAAGGACAAACGAGCATGCTTGGATTGCAAGGTGATACCAGGGGAGTGTGTTGTTTCTCAACATAAGCTTTTGGTGGCAGATTTTCGTTTTGGTGCGTGCCCGTGAGGGATAAACAAGCTAAGATTGAAAGAACAAAGTGGTGGAACCGAAAGGGAGGCGTCAGAGGTATTTAGGGAAAGGGTTTTCAAAGAGGGCTCTTGGAAGGAAGAAGACGACATAAACAATATGTGGGACAAGATGGCAACCAACATTCGGAAGGTAGCCTCAGAGGTGTGTGGAGTAACCAAAGGAAGGGAACGCGAGGCTAAAGACACTTGGTGGTGGAACGAGGAAGTCCAAAGGGCTATTAAGGAGAAGAAAGAATGCTATAGGCGCTTGTACCATGACAGAGTGTGGACAACATAGAGAAGTACAAGGTGGCAAAGAAGGCGCAAAGCGTATGTAAGTGTGGCAAAGGGTAGAGCGTCGAGGATCTTTATCAACATTTGAGTACGAAGGAAGGAGAGAAGGACATTTATAGGATGGCTAGGGTTCGTGAGAGAAAGACACAGGACTTCAACCAAGTTAAGTGCATTAAGGATGAAAGGGAGCATCTCTTGGTAAAGGAGGATGAGATCCGACATCGACGGCAAGAGTATTTTGACAAATTGTTCAATGGTGAGAATATGGACACAACCTTTCAGTTGGATGACTCTTTTGATGACACCAATAGGCGCTTTGTGCGGAGAATCCAAGAATCTGAGGTCAGAGAGGCGTTGAAAAGGATGAAAGGAGGTAAGGCGATGGGACCGGATGGTATCCCAATCGAGGTGTGGAGATGCCTCGGGGACATAGCTGTAGTATGGTTGACCAAGTTGTTCAACCATATTTTTCGATCAAACAAGATGCCTGATGAGTGGAGGAGAAGTGTATTGGTACCGATCTACAAGAATAAAGGGGATATTCAAAGTTGTACAAATTACCGAGGAATTAAGTTGATGAGCCATACTATGAAGCTATGGGAAAGAGTTATCGAGCATCGCTTGAGAGCAATAACGCGGGTCTCTATGAACCAATTTGGTTTCATGCCCGGAAGGTCAACCATGGAAGCCATTTTTTTAATAAGACAAGTTATGGAGCGGTATAGGGAGAAGAAGAAGGACCTACACATGGTTTTTATTGACTTGGAGAAGGCTTATGATAAAATACCAAGGAATGTTATGTGGTGGGCTTTGGACAAACATAAAGTCCCAACGAAGTACGTCGGGCTCATTAAGGACATGTACAACAATGTTGTGACTAGAGTTCGAACAAGTGATGGAGACACACGGATGACTTCCGATTAGGATAGGACTACATCAAGGGTCACTTTGAGCCCTTATTTGTTTGCTTTAGTGATGGATGAGGTTGCAAGGGACATACAAGGGGACATCCCTTGGTGTATGCTTTTCAGCAGACGATGTAGTGCTAGTTGATGAAAGCAGACAGAGTGAATCGTAAAGCTGGAGTTATGGCGGGAGACTTTGGAGTCCAAAGGTTTTAGACTTAGTAGAACTAAAAGCGAGTATATGAGATGTGACTTGGCACTACTACTCGGGAGGAGGAAGATGTTAGTTTGGAAGGTCAAGTAGTGCCTAGGATGGATACCTTTCGATATTTAGGATCAATGCTACTGAGAGGGATGGAGATATTGATGAAGATGTTAGCCATAGAATCAAAGCGGGGTGGATGAAGTGGCGGCAAGCGTCTGGTGTCCTATGTGACAAAAGGGTACCCTGAAGCTAAAAGGCAAGTTTTATAGGACGGCGATTAGACACTGCTATGTTATATGGTGCGAGAATGTTGGCCTCTGAAAAGGCGACATATTCAACAACTAAGTGTCGCGGAAATGCGTATGTTGTGTTGGATTTGCGGGCATACAAGAAGGATCGAGTCGGAACGATGATATACGTGAGAGATTAGGGGTAGCGCCAATTGAAGAAAAGCTTGTCCAACACCGGTTGAGATGGTTTGGACATGTGCAACGGAGACCTTCGGATGCACCGGTCGTGTAGTGGAATCCTAAGTCGGGATAGTAACGTGAAGAGAGGCAGAAGAAGACCGAAGTTGACTTGGGTAGAGGCAATAAAAGGAGACTTGAAAGGATGGAATATACCCAAAGACTTAGCCTTAGATAGGAATGCTTGGAAGACAGCTATTCACGTGCCTGAACCTTGATTGTTTCTGTTGGGTTTCAACTCTAGCCTACCCCAACTTGTTTGGGACTTAAAGACTTTGTTGTTGTTGTTGTTGTTGTTGTTGTTGTTGTTGGAGTATCACCGTATCAATGTTCACAACCATGAGTCTGAAATGCATATGTAAATCTCTTTTGTTGTGCTTTATGGTCTCCAGTTACTTATAGGGGTGGATCCATAAAAATGTTAGTAGGGGCTCCTTCCCCTCATCTTTCTACAGCTGCTGGGAGTCCACCCCTGTCCCCTGGTTGCTTCCTGTATATTGTTTGACAACTGAGACAGTACTAACTAGTACTCCCTCCGTCCCAAATTATGTCATTCCAAGAATCTTGGAAAGTCAAACCGTCTCAAGTTTTACCAAATTTATATGATAAGATAATAACATTTACAGTGTCAACTAAGTATCATTAGATTCTTTATTAATTATATTTTCATAGCATACCTATTTGATGTCATAAGTCTTTGTAATTCTTTCTATAATTTTTGTCAAACTTAAGATGCTTTGACTCTCCAAGATTCTTGGATTGGCTTATAATTTGGAATGGAGGGAGTACTTAGTAGCATGCTACGATTATTGTCGCGGTTTCGATGCGGGACGACGGTTTGCGATTGGAAGTCGGAGCTGCTCTTCGGTGTTTGAGCTTGACAACGATGACCGGTGGCGGCCATTAGCTTCAGACCCGTCGGGGGGTGACTAGTGGGTGGCCTGCCATGGGAAGTCGGAGCTGCTGGCGGCTTGCTTCCATGCTCGGCAACGATGACCTATGGCAGTGTGTCGTGTTTGTGCTCAGCTGCGTCGCGTGGGGTGGTTAGCCCTTCGGGTGCCTTTCTGGCATCTCGTCCGGCTAACCTTCTTGTACATAATATTCTTTCGGTTTAATTGAGCGGCAGAGCTCCTGCCTTTTGTTTCAAAAAAAAAACTTAGTAGCATGCGACAATAGCTTATCACTTGTAAACTGTTTTCTTTGCAAGTGTACTGTTTCCAGCTTTCATCTCTAACTGATTATAAATGGTTCTCTTAAATAGGTATTCTTGAAAAGGGCGGGCGCTGCGCGGAGTCAGTCTAGCACCGGTTTTCCCCTGCTTTTCGTCATCTACATGGCAGTTGTTGGCATTTCGCTTGGTTACCTTCTGCCCCTATGAGGACGGTGAATTTTAGATGAAGCACCTGGGCCATTGCTGATCTTTCTTGGAGCCGCTGAGTTCGTGAACCTGGGTTACTTTGTCAGAGTGAAACTACTGTCACGTCATGATTGTTGCATTAGTCAGATGGACTTGCATACATCTTAGGACTTAGGGTGATAATTACTGGAGTGTATAGAAATAGAGCAGCGCAATTTTTACTTGGTATAGAGCTATAGAGTGGTTTGTCTGAGCAAGGAGCCGACACGAGGAGATCATTCGAGGCTCCTGGGAAGTTACCAGCGAGTCCTGGGTGAGGCCCGCGAGCTGATATATGCTTTGATCAAGGAGAAAGCCCAGTAACCAGGAGGTCATATCCTTGATCCTTCGTTATTCTCCTTGCATGAGAAGGAACCTCCTCCCCTTGTTCTTTTCACAATACGAACAGAAACTATGAAGAGTTTTTATGGTCCTCGTCAATTAGGTCATTTAAGATAAGATTTGGTGACGAAGGGTTGTTGTTTACTAGTATAAAAATATTCCCTATGATGCTGCTATGGCGGTACAGATTGGCATTGTCTAAATATGTACCTCCAAAATCGGCTGGCCTGTTGCCGGCGGACGAAGTTCACGGGTGACTAAATGAAGCCCACCAAACGACGAGTTAGTGGCTGGCAAAACAAATTGCATTCCGGCGGCCGGCGGCCGGCTCGCCGGCGGACGGAGTATCTGAGGGAGAAAACTGGGCGGCACGTCATGCAACGAACGATGCGTTGGGCAAACCAACAATTTGCCAAGCGCCAACCTCGCGTATCCATGGCTCTCCAAACTCTTACGCGTTTGCCCACTCGTCAGGGTCGTTGACTTTTCCACACATGTGAACGCGAGCGTGCAGTTACGTTGCATGCGTGCGGGCACGTCGCGGGCGCGGGTCGTGTCCTTGTCCTGGTCTATAAAAGCGGGCGTGCCCCCGCGGCGTCTCTTTGCCTCCGATCCTTCAAGCACGCCCGACGCGACGATTCCTCTCCTCCGTCCGTTCCCTGTCCACCGATCTCTCTCTCGCTCTCTTCCTCCGTCGCGTCAGCGTCGGCGTCGCCAGCGCCGGCCGGCCATGGGTTGCGGTACCTCCAAGGAGGCCGTGGCCAACGGCACCAGCGCCGGCGGCGGCAGCAAGCTCCTCCGGAGGAAGTCCTCCGTCGTCTCCACCGGCGCAAGCCACACCTCCTCCACGTCGTCGTCGTCCTCCGGCAACACCGGCGTTGCCGTCAAGGACGGTGTGAAGGATGATGCGGCGGTAGCCGGCGAGGTGGCGTCCACCGACGCCGAGAAGCCTGTCTCTGTCGACTCGAAGGCAGACGCCATCGTGGTGATGTCCCTCGAGAAGCCCGCCGCCGCTGCCGTCGTCGTGGAGGCCGCCAAGCAAGAGGAGGAGGTGGTGGTGGTCCTTAATAAGGATGTCGTCGCTGACGACGTCGCTTCCGCTCCTACTCCTGCCGCCGCCGCCGCCGTCGTCGTGGAGGTCAAGAAAGAGGAGGGGGTGGTGGACAATAAGGACAACGTCGCTTCTGCTCCTAGCCCTGTCGCCGCTGCCATGGCGATCGAAGCCGCGGCGGCCGAGCCAGAACCAGAACCTGAGCAGGACAACAAGGTGGTAGTGGTGGTGGAGGAGGACCTGCTTCCTGAATCCACCATGGCCGACGAGGCACCTGTGGAGGAGGCCCCCGAGGGTGAGGCGGAGGCCAAGGAGTTAGCACCACTCAAACTCAAAGACGACGGGGAGGAGAAGACGGTTGAGAGCAAAAACCTCGAACAGGAGGAGCACAAGGCCACGTCGCCTGCTCCGACAAATGAGGATGGTTAGTACGATTTATTACGGACCAGATCGATAAGAATTTTCCTTATGCATGCACCATTTCAATTTCTAATTACAAAGTGGAACTGAACCCGTGTATGTTCGTTACTTTTGCAGGGGAATCAGCTGGGCAGATGCAGAACACCACGGAGCCCGTGGAGGCCAAACCGGCGGTCGACGAGCACAGGGCGGAGGAGGCGGCCGTCGTCCCAGCGCCGCCGTCGGCGGAGGAGAAGACCACCACCACCGACGAACAGAGACCGCTGCAACCGTCGCGAGCGAAGTGCCCGCCAACTAATTAATGGATTAGAAGGAGGCCGCGAAGAGCTAGACGAGACGTGCAACGCGTGCATCGATCATGCATATTGCTGAATTCGGGCGGGTTGTCTATCTGTGTGTATCGATCTCTGATGCATGCATTGATCGATGCGTTTGCTGTACGTGGGGTGGACTCAATATTAATGTGCTCGATCGATCAAAACATTCTCGAGAAGCCGTGTCTATGGCGTACAAACTAACCGTGCATCTGTGTTGTGGAGTACGTGCTTTACATTCTTGCAGGGCGGAGCCAGGAATTGGGGATGGGGGGAGGGGCAGCATAAAAAGCAAGTAAAAGATAACCAAGCTACCATGGGTTTATGGATCTTATAGACAAGTCACATATAAAATCTCCTAGCTTTTAGTCCAATCGCTGCCCATGGCCTAGTTTACTAGCTCGCTGTAGCTTAGCCCGTTGTTGCTTTTAGTCCCTCTTGTGGTACTAGCCGGGCTTCGTCGTAGTTTTCTTTAGTTTTTTCACTTCTGTTTTTCTTCTTTCTCCTCGCCTGAGAAACCTTTGGTTACCTAGTGTTGAGCCGTTTGTTGTTTGGTTCGGTGTTGTCTACTTCCTCTTAATGAAATAAAAATCTCCTAGCTTTATCTTGATCATCCGGTGCAAGTTCCAATATTTGAATTCTTTTACCGGGGTCTACTCTGATTATTAGGATTTTTCACATGATCATTAGTTTCCACCTCCACATTAGGAGTTTCCACATTGGGATTTTCAGCTTGAATAGAATTAGCACTTGAACCAACAGGCTTAAAGAAACTATGAATTATACTTTTTCTCTTCATATCACCTAATCAAAATTGACTATTGATCAAGTGATTATATTAAATAAACTATAAACAAGTTCTATTTAAAAAGAGGTTGTATTGTACTGTAAAGAAGAAAAGGCACAAATTGACAAAGACAGAGAGGAAAAAGGTGACGTCGCGCGAACTCGCGATGACTCGGAGTTGGAGGCGGGGAGTCTCGCCATCTGCCCATCTCGGTGGCTCAGCCTCTGCTCCCGCTCGTGCTGGCTGCTGGCTGCCGGCTGCTGCGTGGAACCTAAACATATGAGGAGTCGAGGAGTCAGTCAAGGATTGCGGATGGAGTACCAAGCGAGGCATCCTGTAGCCCGGTGATATTTATTAACGCACAGAGAAATCCGTAAGCGCATAAATATCGTTGTAACTTTCACCTAAGAGTATTCCAGGGTATTATATTTATCCTCAGGGAAAATGGTTAAAGAACTTAGTTGACCATCATGTATCCACTAATTACAGTACCGTCTACACTAATGTGTGGGGGTAAGTGATAAGATATGAGTGTTTGTATAATGACACACAGGAGAACTCCATGATAAGATAAAAGAGTAAATAGACTAAGCTGAAAGAACAATGGGTGAGTTCAAGGTTCCTATTAACTTCTCCATTACTGTGGTTCTATTTTAGAGCAGATTAAAGGGATTAACTAAGCAAAGGTCAGACATAGCGATCATACCTTAACACTTTAGAGTAGCAGTGCCTTTCCGATCCTCGAAAAGACTAGGAAGGGGTGATCGGGGAAAGGTTGTCAAAAGCTATACGAAAACACCTACCCGAACGTACCTACCCGAACGTGGTGGATTACAAAGGCCTGGTCGGAGCTGTCACTTTCGGGGCTACCATAACTATACGTGGGGTTAGGAGCAAACTTAGGTAATCTATAGTCTAGACACCAAGTCTACACTATCGATTACTACTCTAGCCACATATGATAACTAGAGCACTCGGTCGAGCGGAGATCCCATGTCAAGGTGTAAAACCACTATACTAACCATACCTAGCTACTCCATTAAGGCATGAACTAGAAAACCATGAAAGATATTCAAGTAATTAGGGAAGATAAATATATCAAAAATCGAGTCTTACAAAGGAGCAATACAAGATTATACCGGACCTCCGAGGACTTCTCTGAAACTCAAGCATATCTCCCTAACTCCCAACTAATCCTATACTACTTTTACATCTTGAAAATAGAGAGAGGAGAGCCTTTGTGGTGTGTGTGAATGAGGGGGGAGAGGTCCTCCTTTTATAGGTGGAGAGGAGGGGTGAGGTTCCTTTGGAATATTCCCTTAATCTCCCCCTATGAAAAGAACAAACCGCCTCCTTAGCATTGAATTTACCGCCATCCCCACCTGAACCGACCATGGGAAGGCGGTAAGAGGTAGCCTGCAAAAAATGGGGCGATTTGGGCCTGGTGGCGATGCAGCCGCACCACGAGTGAGCCCAAATTAGCCCATCTTCGGTGGGTCGACTCCTTTGAACCTCTTGAGTGGGTCTATGTTGGTGCTCTGCAAAGATGAGGTGATTTGATTTGAGTTTATCCTTATTCTCCTCTCGTTTGGGCCCTATTTTGCCTAGTTATGGGCCTCTCTCCTTTGGGCTTGTATAGAATGGTATTTGTGCTTTGTTCTCCTGCACATTTTTACTCCTTTTATGTGTACTTGCACAAATGCCCTCCTGTAAATGAATAAACACAAAAACTTGTGGAATTCGTTAGTTATAAACCCTATACTAAGTTTAGTGTTTCAAAAAAATGGATTTTATGCAGGGTTTTGGCGGTTAAAATTATGCATTAAGGACCACCAACATAGGCTAATTTAGTTGCATCTTAGTGGGTTGCAAGCACTTCTTGTTGTTGGGCTCCAATTGAGGGGGGGGGTCGGCCCTTCAAAACTTAACTAACAAGCACTGATATTTAAATAGATAATGAAGGATTAGTGGGATGTTAGGGGGGCAGGCACCCCCAAGCCCCCCTCTCACCTCCCTTGCATTCTTGTTGCGTCATCATGTTTGCTTTGCAAGCTGCAGCTAAGCTGGCCTTACCCAGCGTCCACATTTGCACTGCATTCCCTCACGCCTCTGCGTCGTCGTGATCGAAGAACTTGCGCATGGCGGCCCATAGATTATTCTTGGGTCAGCCTATCGGGCTATCTATGCCCACATGGGCCAGCCAAATTCCCCCTATCCTGGTATGGCGACCTCAGCTATATTTCCTGGGCTCCCTCATCCTTCCGACTGCCTCGCTTTCCTTCTTCGATAATACTGTAGTGAGGATGTTCGTCCAGGCACGTCCATTCGAACGCCCCGTACCTAGGCCTACGTGGCGGCCCAACAGCCAACGACGGGCCTGCTCCATCTATTGTCTCTCCTCCATTTCTACACTATGACAACCAAGAAATCTCCAACTCCCTCGACTCGCTTCGCTCGTCGTGGTGAGACGCGCCGTCTGCCCGCCCCAAGTCGCCTCGTCACCACGCAGTGCCCCCATCCCACGTCACGTCGCGCCATGCCCTGTCCTTGCCCCTACGCTCCATTCCCCGTCCCCGCCCCTATGCTCCGCGCCGGTCCCCCGCCGCATCGAGGTGCTGCCGACGTCGCTGTTCCCGTGGCTAATAGAGGAGCTTCACGTGACACCGTCCCATTGGTGAGTTTCTCGTGCCGCTGCCGTCGCCGACCACGACAACGAGCGTCCATTCCTCTAGGCTGCAAGGTCACATTGCGCTAAAAGCGCATGTTGCAAGCGTATGTTTCAAGTATTTCAGATGTTTTATTTGGATATTGCATGTGTTTCATCTGGATATTGCAAAAGTAGATCGGGATATTGCACATGTTGCAATGGCTATACACGTAGGTTGCAAGTTTATGTTCCAAATGTTTCATTTATTTTTTCAGACATATTTTGCAAGTGTGTTTGTTTGGATGTTACATATGTTTCACACATATATTGCAAGTGTTTTTATCTTAATGTTGCATATTTGAATGGCTTTTCATGAGTTTTCAGGTGTTTTTGTAAGTGTTTTAGATGCATGTTTCAAGTGTTTCATCTGTGTACAGACTTATGTTGCAAATGTTTTATCTGAATATTTCAAAAGTAGATCGGGTTTTGCACATGTTGCAATGTCTTCGGTGGCTGGCGGACAGCGGCCTGGGCAGGGCTTCGGCTCCTACCTCGTGCGACACGCCTCACCCTCTCCTCTTCTCTCCCTCCCTTCCTTTCCCTTCCCTCTATCTCGCCTCGGCGTTGGTGTTGGGGTGGGGGTCATCGAGGGTGCTGCGTTCGATGTGGGATGCGATGTGGAGCACGTGATCGTGGGATGCGATGTGGAGCCCGGGGGCGTGGGATGCAATGCAGGCGCAGGTGCGGGAGCATCATCCGGACGAGTCCTACGGCCGGATGTCCGGGCGCTAGCCCTTCCGCTCCTTCTTTGTTGATAAATTATTATTTATTATTACTTCCTTTGTGTTACTATATTTGTTCACAGCATATTATGCACACACAAACTAAGAAAAAATTACAGCTCAAGAAAAAAAATCAGTATGAAATGACCATTGACACATCATTTTAAATACAATTTTGCTATATCATGTCCCGGTGAAGGAAGTGTTTCCTACATCCGAACTTTGTGAGCACGTTATAAGAAAAAATTAAGGTGTTTTTGTTTTAGTGGAGTTACACACCTAGATTAGGGTATTCTAAGCATCGGTGAGATATTCCTTTCCCACACCCAAATTTTTAGTTACGCCAATTCAACCTAGAAATGACACTAGAATAGTCACCGCAGTTCTATTAGTCGAGTGTAAATCAAGCATAAGTCGATAATAATTAAAATTGGATTGTGGAACACAAGATTTTCATCTGAATCTTAAGTTATTTTTTCAATCAACCTGATATCATTGATTGAATCAAAGCAGCAGTTCAATGGTGCTTAAAACAAAGAATCAGTAGCACTCAGCAAATCGCTCCTTGTAATCAAAATCTGATATCAAAGTTGAACTTTTTAGTGTTTTACTGAGAATTATTGATACTGCGCCACTGTTTCGCTGTAAAAACATCAACTGTGGTATTTGTGGTGAGTTCAATGAATTTGAAAGACTGAAAGTACATTGCAATGGCCATACCATTTCAGCAAGATATGAGTATAAAAGGATCAAGATGCCTAAGAGGGGGGTG